GCATTTGCATGGATGGACTTTGCGCCATCACAACCAGGGGCCAAAGAAAAAAGAGACAAGATGTGGGAGAACAGGGATGAGTTCGGGTTCAATCCATGTGGCCATAGAAGGTCAATGATGTCACCAGCATCCCGCACCTTTTTGTTTAGCGTGTCTTTGCGTATTTTGCACATTTTTGTGCATGCCTAATGCGCACATGAAGACATGCGGTTTAGCGAGGCAAAGTGAGACACATTGTGGTCAATGGGCAAACACATGCAAAATCGCACACAGTAATGTGCAAAGCGCTTGTGCCATGCATTTCCAGGTATTTCCATTGAAGTCTAATGGGGCCAGACACGTAATGCCAAAAAAGAGCTCCTATACTTTTTCCACCATTCAGCGTTTTACAGCTTGTGACAGAACGCTCAGGTGTGAACAGGGCCATTGAAATAAATAGGATTTTTTGTGTTGAGAGTTTTGTCTCGCTTGGCTTTGAGCGTCAAAACACCTAGGTATGAACAGGAACTTGGAGCTTCAGACAAACTACTACATAAGTAGTAATATGTAGTAGTAATAATTTAAAATACATAGAAGTTTGTTTTTAGCCACCAAAACATTTTTAATTCTGTTTAGTGAGTCAGGAGACGCATTCATTTTTTTGTTCAGCCTTGCCGCTTCCTGTGCTACTTCTTCTAGTGTCATCATTGGACACTGAATTGGCATTGTTGCCTCTCTTGTGAGCTCACCTAGGAAGCCGTAATGCTAGATCAAAAAGTAGCAGAGCGATCTTACTGACTATATAGATGTTTGTATCTGAAAATGGCTGGCCAAAATAACAATTATTTGGTAAGTACAACAATAAATATGTACTTGAACTGCATGTTGAACTGTTTGACTGGTTACCGGTTTAAAAATGCTATGCATCATTTCTAACAATTTTAGAAAACAAGTTGAATTCTAAAACCTGCTTGTGTGAGAAGGCAGGTAGACATTCTGGCTGGTCTAAAAACATTGTTCAAAGTGCTGTAACCTATATCCATGTGCTGCTATATTACTACTGTTTTTGTGACTGGTACTCTTGACTTTAAGTGCCCAGACACCTTGTGATTATCGTACAATAATCGCGGGAAATCCCGCGATCGTACGATAATCGCAAGGTGTGTGGAAGGCGTGCGACCGTTTCTACTGTACGGTCGCACGACTTTTGTCTTACGAACATGTTTGCAAACCAGCCGAGAATCGTACGATTTTCGACTGGTTTGTGGCATGCTCGTAAGATAATTGCCGCACAGGCCGGTGTGCGCAAGTGCACACTGCCCGTTCAGCATTGCGGTCATCGGATGCCCACCCCTCAGCGGGGCGGGCTTGCGATTATCGCAAGTACAATCTGCCTGTCCATGATGGGCAGATCGTACGCATTTTTAATGACCTTACAACCATCGCAAGTCTTGCGACGGTTGTAAGGTCTATGGCCAGCTTTAGGCCGTTAAGGAATGTGCGAAGTGACCTATAGCGACCACACACACCATTCTCCTCCTTTACTTAAAGGAGAACTATGAGGCGAGTGCTTTTCACTCACCTCATAGTTCTAGCCGACCTGTGACAATGAGACTGTCACAGGTCAGCTTAGTAGTTCAGGATGTGAGCGAACACATACCGGCGTTCGCTCACCTCACGATCCTGTCACGGCTCTCTGCCGTGACAGGGGAGGGGCTGGATTCCCCCCTCCCCGCTCCGATCCGCCAGCGCTGACTGGCGGAAGGGACGTTGGATGGGGCGGGTACAGCTGGCTCTGCCTCTAGATAGGCAAAGCCAGCTGTCAGTCACGCAGCTCGGCAGTTCCAGACATAATTGTCGGGAACCGCTGCGGCTGCTCGCAGTATGCTGCGGCGTCTCGGTATACCGCGAGCTACAGCTCGCGGTATAGTGAGCCTAGGGTGACGGGAGGACGCTAGTTTGTGTCCTCCCATTACCCTAAGAAGAACTATGGGGAAAAGCCTTAACCCCATAGTTCTCATTTAACTCTACTCTAGGCAGGAGATTGTGTGGTGTGTTGGTTTTTTTTTGTTTGTTTGGTTTTTTTAATGGATTCGAGCATATTTTATTTAATAAATGTAAAGTATGTATCATTATTGCCCCCATCAATTATCTATTTCCGAGGGATTAAAAAGAATGTGGTGTTTTTCGGTTTTCTTTATGCCAGATAGGCATTGTGCCAAATATAGTACCTCCCCGATTGTTGACACCCTGGGAGCGTGTTTGCTAATTGATGAGCATGTGACTATCATGACCCCTGTATTTTTCCCCACACAAATGGAGAGAAGGTTTTCTGCCTGTAAAGCAGAGATTAAAATAAAAATTGCTAGTGAGCAGAGTTTTTGGTGGAAGGTACTGTGTATGTCTCTTCTGCCAAAAAACTCCTTTCCCTTCTTATCTAGTAAATGTTTTGTAAACTACCTGTGTTGCATGCGCAGCGTAGTGCACACTCTTGGCATTTGCATGGATGGACTTTGCGCCATCACAACCAGGGGCCAAAGAAAAAAGAGACAAGATGTGGGAGAACAGGGATGAGTTCGGGTTCAATCCATGTGGCCATAGAAGGTCAATGATGTCACCAGCATCCCGCACCTTTTTGTTTAGCGTGTCTTTGCGTATTTTGCACATTTTTGTGCATGCCTAATGCGCACATGAAGACATGCGGTTTAGCGAGGCAAAGTGAGACACATTGTGGTCAATGGGCAAACACATGCAAAATCGCACACAGTAATGTGCAAAGCGCTTGTGCCATGCATTTCCAGGTATTTCCATTGAAGTCTAATGGGGCCAGACACGTAATGCCAAAAAAGAGCTCCTATACTTTTTCCACCATTCAGCGTTTTACAGCTTGTGACAGAACGCTCAGGTGTGAACAGGGCCATTGAAATAAATAGGATTTTTTGTGTTGAGAGTTTTGTCTCGCTTGGCTTTGAGCGTCAAAACACCTAGGTATGAACAGGAACTTGGAGCTTCAGACAAACTACTACATAAGTAGTAATATGTAGTAGTAATAATTTAAAATACATAGAAGTTTGTTTTTAGCCACCAAAACATTTTTAATTCTGTTTAGTGAGTCAGGAGACGCATTCATTTTTTTGTTCAGCCTTGCCGCTTCCTGTGCTACTTCTTCTAGTGTCATCATTGGACACTGAATTGGCATTGTTGCCTCTCTTGTGAGCTCACCTAGGAAGCCGTAATGCTAGATCAAAAAGTAGCAGAGCGATCTTACTGACTATATAGATGTTTGTATCTGAAAATGGCTGGCCAAAATAACAATTATTTGGTAAGTACAACAATAAATATGTACTTGAACTGCATGTTGAACTGTTTGACTGGTTACCGGTTTAAAAATGCTATGCATCATTTCTAACAATTTTAGAAAACAAGTTGAATTCTAAAACCTGCTTGTGTGAGAAGGCAGGTAGACATTCTGGCTGGTCTAAAAACATTGTTCAAAGTGCTGTAACCTATATCCATGTGCTGCTATATTACTACTGTTTTTGTGACTGGTACTCTTGACTTTAAGTGCCCAGACACCTTGTGATTATCGTACAATAATCGCGGGAAATCCCGCGATCGTACGATAATCGCAAGGTGTGTGGAAGGCGTGCGACCGTTTCTACTGTACGGTCGCACGACTTTTGTCTTACGAACATGTTTGCAAACCAGCCGAGAATCGTACGATTTTCGACTGGTTTGTGGCATGCTCGTAAGATAATTGCCGCACAGGCCGGTGTGCGCAAGTGCACACTGCCCGTTCAGCATTGCGGTCATCGGATGCCCACCCCTCAGCGGGGCGGGCTTGCGATTATCGCAAGTACAATCTGCCTGTCCATGATGGGCAGATCGTACGCATTTTTAATGACCTTACAACCATCGCAAGTCTTGCGACGGTTGTAAGGTCTATGGCCAGCTTTAGGCCGTTAAGGAATGTGCGAAGTGACCTATAGCGACCACACACACCATTCTCCTCCTTTACTTAAAGGAGAACTATGAGGCGAGTGCTTTTCACTCACCTCATAGTTCTAGCCGACCTGTGACAATGAGACTGTCACAGGTCAGCTTAGTAGTTCAGGATGTGAGCGAACACATACCGGCGTTCGCTCACCTCACGATCCTGTCACGGCTCTCTGCCGTGACAGGGGAGGGGCTGGATTCCCCCCTCCCCGCTCCGATCCGCCAGCGCTGACTGGCGGAAGGGACGTTGGATGGGGCGGGTACAGCTGGCTCTGCCTCTAGATAGGCAAAGCCAGCTGTCAGTCACGCAGCTCGGCAGTTCCAGACATAATTGTCGGGAACCGCTGCGGCTGCTCGCAGTATGCTGCGGCGTCTCGGTATACCGCGAGCTACAGCTCGCGGTATAGTGAGCCTAGGGTGACGGGAGGACGCTAGTTTGTGTCCTCCCATTACCCTAAGAAGAACTATGGGGAAAAGCCTTAACCCCATAGTTCTCATTTAACTCTACTCTAGGCAGGAGATTGTGTGGTGTGTTGGTTTTTTTTTGTTTGTTTGGTTTTTTTAATGGATTCGAGCATATTTTATTTAATAAATGCCATTGTGCAAGTTGTCAAAAAAAAAAAGACTGCTTGAATAAATTGTTTTTCTGTGACTGAAGTTGTAAATTAATTTGTTCACAGATGTCATATAGTAAGTGTCTGACAATGAGTTGTTTTGTCACTCCGCTCCTTCAAAAACAACCTACTCAATGTGTGACACGCATTGAGCATCAAATTTTGGTGAAATATAGTTGTAAAGTGGACCAGTGCTTTCTTATCGATGTATCAACATCAGCAAGCTGACTTTGTAACGTGTGGAGTCAAAAATCCACAGACTGTGAAAACTAAATTAGCCTTTAACTAGACTTGTTCCCAAAACGCCTAACTAGCAAACAAAGCTATGCCTTACATAATATTCAAAAACATTTAATGTGGTGAAATGCATGTTTACATACTAAAACATGGTGTTTGTATTTGTTTCCCAAGGTCGATGAGTTATATGAGGCTTACTGCATCCAGAGACGCCTAAGAGAGGGTGCAAGTAAAATGAAGCAGGCATTTGCTGCATCCCCCTCAAGCAGAGCGGCACGAGAGAGCTTAAGTGAAATAAACAAGAGCTATAAAGAGTACACTGAGGTAGGCTGTTTTTTATTATGTATGTGTGTGGGAGCTATCTGCGACACGCCATTGTGAATAAAGTATCACACAGTGCTTCATATATGTTCATGTGGAGAATGCATAATGATATTGCTCTCAAGGGCTTATAAGGGGGTTGACTCTCTTGCATATCAGAAATGTTTTGGACCAGGTCACATTTTTATAACATTTGCCACGGTGTTTATAATATATTGACAGCAATGCGTTTTGGGTTCAACCTGGAACTGCAAGCTTAAGCTGGCCATACACCAGTAGAATGTTATTTTTTTTAAAAGTTTTGGGACGTTCCTTCAATTTTGTAATAGTTAATGGGATCAAATTGGTTTGTATTGTAGTGGTGTAAGAAATCTAAGGAGCATCATAGAAATGTTTTGGGACCAAGCTAAATTCTAATAGTGAATGTGGTTTTAATTTGGGAAACTCACTTCATTTTTTAAAATAAAATGTTAAATTCGAATGACATTTATCAAGTCTCTGATGGCATTATTGAATGTTCTGATGATCACATTCGTATGAAAATCTACCAATGTCTGACCAGCTTAATTTACTAAATTTAAATACAGCTATACCAGTTGATGTCTTTTTTAAAGTTAATGAATATCTCCAAAAGGATCTATTTTCCTGGCTTGAAAAAGTAGAAGGCTCACAAATGCTAGTTTTGCACCAGGTTTATGTTGCCCCCTAATTCAGTAACATTTAACAAAGTGTTAGAGGTTTTTTTTAATAAAAATATAGGGGATGCCATTGCTAACCTCCTTATGAAATGCTAGTGGCATGGCTGTGCCTGACTTTAATCATCTCTGATCTGGAGCAAGTCTGTAGATCAGGAAAGTGCAAGAAATCTCAGAAGTCTGCATATTAATTGAGTCCCAGCCTAAAATATTGAAGTATGAGGGTGAGCTAGACAGCCAGCTAGCATTTTTAGAAGGAAACGACAGCAATGCCAGCTTTCATCTTTCTCTTATTACAGTTCTTTTTTTTTATCAGACAGATCATTTCGAACAGCTTGGCACAAGACGGCTATTAAAAAAAATTGTGTGGCAGGATCCATTGTTTTTTTGTCCAATGAGTAGCAAAATATATTGAGTACAGTGGCCTGTCTAAGAACATAACTTATTGAATATTGATCTTTTATTAAACCGTTTTCAAACTGGGTCTGTAAAAGTGTAATGAATCCTTAGGTGTGAACCATAATTCTCCGCCATTTTCGAAATTATGCACCACATTTTGTTTCAGTACGTTTTTTTTGTTTTTTTTCCAGCATATGTGCACTGTTGAGTCTGAAATGGAAAGCCTATTGGGAGAATTTTACATCAAAATGAAAGGTAATAAACATTTTGTATTCCAAAAAGATGAAATACAGGTGGACCAACTAATGTGCTAAACAAGTGTCACGTTGGTTGTCCAATTCATTTTGTTCCTTTTCTTCTCTTCTAATATATATTATATATTCTACATACTGTTCTCTACACATTGAGGTCAGTCTGGCCACAATTGATATTCCAGTTATATATAGTAGTCATGGTTACACCACCCATCGAGGTTGATTTTACTAAATGATTTTTAGAGTGTTCACACAATAAAAAGTGTTAAGATTCACTTTAATTATCCAAACATGTGTAAAGAAAATCCTTGTTTACTTAGTTCATCTACACATAATGGGATAATTACATTGAATATGCACACAATTTATCTCAGATCCTTTAGTGAATCGGCCTGATTATGTCTGTTTAGCTTTAGCGATTTCCCCACCAGAGCCCTCAAAAAATGGGAGTCAATTCAACTTTTGTTACATGTTTTGAGAGTTGTCACTCCACTCCAAATGGATACATTTTAAAAGCATTTAGGGCTTGTTCACACCGAAAGTGTGTGCGTTCCACAGCGGTAGCTGCTGGAACGCACCGCGATCGATGAGAAATTCCCCCCGCGGTTTAGGGCGGGAGGAGGTGTGGCGGTGCATTAAATTTAATGGCACCGCTTCTACCCCCGCCCGCAGTGCGATCGGACGCGTGCCAAAACTTTGCCAGCGTTTTGTTCCACTGCAAACGCAAAAAATAGAGCTAGCCCTAGGCAAAGTTTTGCCACGCGTCCGATCGCGCTGCGGGTGGGGCGTGGAAGCAGTGCCATTGAATTCAATGCACTGCCATGCACCCTCCCGCCCAAAAACGCGGGGGGAAGTTTCTCACCGATCGCGGTGCGTTCCAGCAGCTACCGCTCTGGAACGCACACGCTTTCCATGTGAACAAGGCCTTATGAAATGAAAACAATGTAAAGTGGGAGCTTATGGCCTGCTTGGTTGTTATAGAAAACCAGAGATTTTTCTAAATACAAACCTTAAAAAAACCCATGTCACTCTCCAAAAAAAAAATCAGAGACCTGTTACAAGTATGTAGCCTTGTCAGACTTTTAGATATTCTTTGTTTTGTTGGTTAACTTGATCAAGTTCCTAAACTAGAGATATTTCTAGTGGCAAAACATTTCACGTCAAAAGCGGCAGAAGTATCTAGTTGGGAACTTTGTGATTTACATTTTCCAGAGTTGTTAACAGAGAAACCGTGGTGAGTATACAATTGTTACTAGCAGTTCAACAATTCTCCAGAGCCAAAAAAATCACTTGTTGGATAATAGTTTAGTGGTTATGTATCCTTTTATTTTATCATTCTACTTCTGCCACCTAGTGTTAGTAGATGTTATTAGGTTAACGTAATAAGTGTAAATTCAGCTAAGTTTTTTAGGAAATGTATTGGTAGATTCTTTTTGGTGGTAAAGAAAAAGATGTTCACGAATGAACGTCCAGGAAAAAAGTTGGTGTCTTTAAAAACTTGCAGTACACACAATTTAATTGGTCATTAAAAGGTGTCACATTAACATTTCCCATCTAAATTTGCCAACCTCGTTCTATTTTGTTTTTGCTGTTAATTCAGCCTGGGAAAACTAAATTGCAGAAAATAAACATTTTATATGTATAGAGTGAAGGATTTCTTGGTAGGTTTACTCCAGATTGTGAGCTATCCATTGCACACCAGTAAATATCCTTTTATGCTTGAAATATTAACATATATTTTTCATCTACAGGTCTAGCTGGCTTTGCCCGTTTATGTCCCGGAGACCAGTATGAGGTGGGAACATTTTTGTAGTACTTGACTTTAATAATGTTTTATCTTCTTTGAAAATAATTATGCTAGCTGCTGTAGCTAAACATCTAGTATGTCATAACTTGCAAAGTTGGGGAACTTTTGCCACACCCTTAGGATGCCAATACATAGGGGAGACTTACTACTAGGCTAGTGATAGATGTAAGGGGCCAGCAGATGCAGGGGCATGGTCCAACTGACAAATTATATTTTTAAGATGGGTAGATGCATTGATATGTGTATGTATATTTTTGAATGTAAATGTCTTTGCATTGAGCAAACTCTCCTCCAGCACTAGCTAGATTTTGGGTAAACATAAGGACTACTAGTGTAAGGAATATAACTAACCAAAATAATAGTGTGTATCTAAAAAAAAAAAAAGTGGTTGCTAACTTGCTAGCCAGTAGGGATGAGCTCAGGTTTGAACTGAACCTGGTCCAAACCTGAGCTCCTCAGAACCTGGAAGCTCTTTATGCTTCTGCCCAATCAGCTGTGAAATCATTGACCTTATATGGCCACATGACTTTATTTGATCGGTGACACTGACCTACTATGGCCATGTGGCCATATAAGGTCAATGATGTCAGCACAAGCATCCTGCCCATTTGTTAAGGTGCAGCTGCAGGACAGGGAATTCTCTGGCTCGCAGTTGATGTGGCCCCATGTCCCTTCTGGGTTCAGAGGAGCTTGGGTTCGGATTGGTTTTGGTTTTCACCTGAGCTCATCCCTATCAGAGAAGCCCATCAATAAAAAAATAAAGTTTACAAAAAAAAAAGTCAAGCAAAACTCTTTAACTTGTATGTACTGGTATCCAACGCAAGCCTGGTTGGCTTCTTTTTTTGTGGAACAGAAGGAACTGACTATAGTCAGTTTCACAATTGACTTTCTCTTCTGAAAATAGTTGGTCAGGAGGGTCTACTCTGATCAGTTATGTACCTATAGATCTAAAAACCATTCAACAATATTGTAATGTATACAGCTGTCTTGAATATTTGAATAATCAAGGTTGAGGATTACGGAAGATCCCTTCATTCTTCTGACACATATTCTTTCATCTTTGGGACAGATTGGGCAATCTCCCTCCAGCACATATGTAGCACATTGCCTGCTTATCTCTACTCAGTCAACAGTAGTAGTGATATATTGGTCAGCAAGCTGTGAGGTGTCATGTCCTCAATTCAGGACATTCGGGGTTCAGTGCCATAGATTCTATTCTGGAAACAGACACTGCAATTATTTGTATTGTCTAAGAGCCACTTATCTTGCATGACCTTTTGTAAGCAGGGTTGACTCCTTTTTGTATTTAATAACTGCCTGACAAAATCTGCTTCTTTTCTTCGTGCTTGTTTTTTAGTGGCTTGAGCTGTTCAGTGTAAATAGATATTCTAGTTGTTTTTCCTCTAATCTCCAGTAGGGAGAAACACGTGCTTTATAATTGTAAACTGCAAACACTGAAAAAAGGTCAATGTTTAAATGTACGCTTGTTATTTTAATTTGGTGGTTCATGCTGCTAATTATTAGTGCTGTTTCATGTGAATATGAAAAAAAATTTGGAGCATTTGCTCATAATTTACAATGAAAGGATCTACGTTCAGTATTGCCATTGTTTTTTGTACAAGTAATGTTCCATGAAATTGGTTCTGTGGGTCATATCAGTGATGTGAGAAATGTGCATGCCTGTGCAATTAAAATAAATAGGAGTGCTTATGTGGTAATGCTGAGCATGCTCTTCCAAGGGGTAGAGACATGAGATTCCATCACTCCTGTTTTCCTAAATATGATGGTGGCAATTAACTTTATAGAGGGGTTTTTACCCTGAAACATCCTTAGGTTTTTCCATCTCTACCCCTGTTGCTGGGTGTCCAGGTTTGCTTGCTGATTCTTTTTGGTTTTTGATATTGTACTCCTTTTGCTGCATATATGTTGATTATATATGGGTTTGTTATCCCCCCCACCCTGACCTAATGTTTTTTGTTTTACTTTTGGAGCCACACAGGGTCCCACCCTATTGGCGGGACCCAGCGTGGCCCCACAATGTTAGCTTTTGCATGTGATGAACCTCTTCAAATACAAACAAGAATTTGCTGGTGCTGGTGATCTTCATTTATATCAAGATTTAGGCCTCATTCACACACAACGCAAGCAAAATTGTATATTGCGTATATACGCATCTATGCGCGTATATACGAGCATCTATGCGCGTATATACAAGCGTATATGCGTGCACTATTTGCATTCCCAGAATGCATCATTCCTAATGGAAATTTTAATAAACTGTACGCACATACGCGCGTATACACGCAAACATGCATATGAATGTAAAATACGCAGAAATACGCTGCCCGGACGCATCTCGGTTCCATTCTGTTTTTGCGCATATATACGCTACGCAAATAAACGGCTCCATACGCGGCTATGTGTATGGAGCCATTTATTTGCATATGGTACAATACGCACGTACGCGCGGCAGTGTGAATGAGGCCTTACTATGACCTTGGTTACAGAACCCATAGAAATTATGCTCTTTCAATGTGTGATTTGACTGTGTGCAGTCTCTAAACTTTCTAGTAGCTTGTTGTATTGCCTTGTTTTTGTTTTTTATTCCTTTTTTTTTATAGAAACCAGATCAAATAAAAATCATTAAATAAAAAAAATGCTAATACACCCCCTCCCCGTTAATTTGTTGTTTTCAGATATTCATGAGATACGGTCGTCAGCGGTGGAAACTAAAAGGCAAAATTGAGGTTAATGACAAACAGAGCTGGGATGGAGAAGAAATGTTTTTTCTTCCACTGATTAACAGTTTAATATCAATAAAGGTATCAGTCTGACAGTTGGTGCAAAGTCTTGCACAATGTGTGTGTTTGTTTATAGCAGAAGACTTTTTTTTTTTATGTAGATGCAATTTGTTTCTTTAGGTGACGGAACTAAAAGGAATAGCCACTCACATCCTGGTGGGAAGCGTTACCTGTGAAACAAAGGATTTATTTGCAGCACATCCCCAAGCTGTTGCTGTTGACATAAATGACCTTGGCACAGTAAAACTTAACTTAGAAGTGTCATGGTGGTAAGTAACACTGACATAGGCACCTGGTTGTCATTTTTTTTTGTAGTTGTCCTTCGTTTGCTCCAGGATGAAACCAATTTCATATATATGAAAATCTATGAAAATACCTCCATTCATTAGAAAGTGAATAGTTTAGAACAGGGGTGCCCATAAGGTCGATCGCGATCTACCAGTGATCGCGTAGCGATCACTGGTAGATCGCCATGTCCTCTCCTCCTGCCGCTTCTCTGGATCCTCCATTTGAAAAGTAGATCTCCAGATAAAAAATAGTGGGCACCCCTGGTTTAGAACATGCCCTCCATAACCTCCTGTAACATTCTCCTATTCTCCTTTTTTTTTTAAAAGCCAGTATCTTCACTGCCTGATGCAACAATTATATGTATGTAGATGGCAAAGCAGTTTTCCTCAAACGGAAATAGTGATGGCCCTTTATATGGAGCTTGTCTTTGCCCTAATGTAAAGCTATAATGTGGAGAGAAAAAAACACTGCCATGTTGGTGCTTTTTTCTTACAAGAAGTGCCCCTGAAACACCATGCCCCTTAAATTTCCTATGTAAATAGAGAAAATATTTTTATGCATAGGCTTTGCACACCCCGATGTAACAGCAGGAGGTCCTGGGAGCAGAGAGTTCTGTATTGTTGGGTGATGGGGGGCACCTACATTGCCAATATCTCAGATCTCAAAATATTTTTTTTTGGGGGGGGGGCATTTATTATGTAAAGAATATTACAATATGGCTCCTTATATTGCCTAGTATCCAGCAGTTATAAAAAATATTTGGAAATGTAAAATGTTTTGTTTGAACTCCAACTCATTTTTTATTTTTTTTTGCCTTCCAGCCCATTTGATACAGAAGACCTGACACCTTCCACAGGCAATGTAAACAAAGCATCTGCCGTCCAAAGGAGAGTCTCCATATACAGCCAGGGCACACCAGAGACGCCCACATTTAAAGACCATTCCTTCTTTGTAAGTTACTCCATTATCAAAAATTCTAAAGTTCTTGTCAAAAAGTTCGCTTATGTTTGCGCACTAAGGCTCCAATCTAAAGCTAGCCATACACGTGGCAATTTGTTAGTGATCAAACTTTAATTTTTTATATTTGTTTTTTTGGGTCGAAATCCCAAAGTACTGAAATGGGATCATAATTTCCCTGATCAAACCCAGTGGAAAATTCTGAACACTTTTGACAAAAAGGTCGAAGTTTTAACTTCAAAATGGACTAAAATTGTGTACCTGTGGGTAGTAAATTGCTTAGGTTCCGGTGATTTATATGCAATCGTATGTGCGATTCCCAGTGGATGGAAGGAAAGTGGTTGAAATTGACATAAATTGCCACATGTTTGGCCAGCTTAAGGCAAGTTTCAGGCAGTTTTTCAATCGGATTATATACTTGCCTTACCCCTGTCTTTTGCCTGTGGTGCCTAGGATAGGGTGATGTTATACTCCCTCCAGCTAGATTCTGGGGAATTTCATGAAAGGATGTGCTTGCACTGGACTGGAGTGTCCCCTCTCAAGATTTGGGCTGTTTTGCATTCCCCAGGCTTCTCACCGGAGGAATAGTAATGTCACATCGTGCAATGCAAAAGATGTATTTTTTTACAAGGGCATTTTACTGCTAGGTCTGCTAAAAAAAAATGCTAGAAGTTACTGAGCTGTCCTCTAAGCTGGCCATGCACTGCTCAAATTTCAGTTCTGCTGACTCGGCCTAAATTCAAGCTGTCCCTGCTCGATGAAAGTTGATTTTATTATCTCCGAGTCAGGCTGGACAGTGATGGCAGCCAATCAGCTGTGGGCACCTGCTGTCAGAATACAAATAAAATAGCTGGCAGGGAAGAGATTCCCCATCCTTGCCCTTTTAGGGAGGAGCCAAGTGGTTTTTTTTCTCAGCCCTACAGCTGCAAACATGACAAGTGTATGACCAGCTTTAGTGCAGTGTTTCATTATAGGCTAGAAAAAAATGAAAGCTAGACTTTTTTTTATGTTTCTGGATACGGTTTTAGTGAAGAATTTAGAGGGCACAGGATGGCCAAAACGTTCTGCTTCAAGTTTCTAGGGGCAATGCAGTACATTGAGTCAAATACTTTTGTTACCTTCTCTTAGGAGTAAGCTAGACTATGAAACATCAGTTTCTATCTACCACCAACATTTGGGTACTAGGTGACTCTCCTAAAATCCTAGTTTAGGAAAATATTTGGGATGTTTGCTGGGGATATCTGCTTAAAGTTGTTTTGGAATGATGGTAGTTACATTGTTTAATAATGTTCCATTTGCTTTCAACCTACTGAAGAAATGGCTGAACCCACCACAAGACAGACTGCGACACTCAATTATGGATGCGCTGCAGGAGACTTTCTTTGACAAACTCCGGCGCAGTCGCTCTTTTAGTGACCTGCCCTCTCTCAGGCTGAGGCCTAGATCAGGCAGAGATCGCTATGTGAGTTACAAGCAGGCAGATCTGTGTGTTCTGAGTTTTTTGGTTACCTTTCCATGCATGCATTTCATCCTTCGTTCATTTTACTGGTAATGTCGTGCTGTATGGATGCTTTTTTTTTTTGAGTGGGGCCAGAAATGTCTCTGTGGTTTTATCCCTAGGACAACTGACAGTCAAAATTAATTAAATTTATCCAAGAGGCTATTTGCATCTTTTGGTGCATTAATGTGCGTTGTGTCGCATGTTAACATGTGTTGTGTTAAGGCAGCCCATTGACAATGAGCTGTCAATGCACCAAAATGGACATGGCACAAAAAAACACTATGGTAACTTGACGTGCATTGCGGTACACTGCAAAGCATGCAAGTTGCCTTAGTGCCTGAGGGTGCCATTCAAAGTGAATGGCACCACAAAGTATGTAACGTGTGGACATGTAAATAGACATTTAAGCGCATTTAACATCCAAATAATTTCACTTTGTTTATATAGGCCAAGGCTCCTGTAGTATTCCTTATACCAAAAAGTATCACATTTCTGGGGTATCTAGCCACACTCTGCTCAATTCACACCGCTAACCAGGGAAGGGATACTTCTTAAAAAAAAAAAAAAAAAGATAGCTCATTTAGTGAGATTTGGAAAAGTCATGTGGCTTGTCCTTATCCTTGCGTTAAAGCTTTGTGACTATGACTATAACTGGAGACTGGTAGTGCTGCTGTTTTGACATAGGTACTTTTTTTTCGCAAGGGACTGTAACTTTTCAGCATTGATACTTTCAGTGCTGGTGAGATCAGAGGTTTTTTTTCTCAGCTTGATCCTGTAAAGTATATGTACAGACCAAACTTTTTCTTCCTAGCTTCAGCTTGAGGAAACTCAGAAGCGACACCATTGCCCATGAGGAGTGTTTGGCACGTGTTTCCTTCCAGCCTCTTTGGCCTGTTAGGAAATCTCTTACCACTGCTTGCCTGTTGGTACAGCATCGCTGTCCTTTCCGGTCTTCGATTTTGCTACACTGCCTGTCTTTGTTGGATTTATCCATCTGGCTGCCTAAAATGCTTGCCTACATCTGACTTGGTTGTGACTCTACTGGGCTCTACCTTTTTCTGGGTGTTGTTGCTTCCGCTAATCGTTGCAATGACATTATGAAGGCAATCCAACTGCAATGCATGGCCTCACCTCTCACACTCCTTTTTCAGGAAGTGCTTTTACTGTTTTTTTGACATAGATCTAACATAAGTATTTTGGATCCTGGGACCCCCTAGTACAATAGGCTAGTCCTCTTCACCAGTGTCTACAGATTCACTACCTGAGCCTGATACCCATATAGGGTCTACTAGGCTTCATATTTCCACTTCTAATTTTTTGTCAGTCTGCACATTTAATGGCTTGATCTGCTGGCTAGGCTGGCTGCCTGCACTCCAGATACATTGTTCTCATGCTATTGGGCCTTTATCTCGCAAGGTATTTGAGTACCCTATAGTTTGTTCTTATTCTGGTTTGGAAAACCTACATTCTTCCACTTCACAGACTGTATTTAATGGTATTGATGAATGCAACATGCACAACATTCTTCCCAATCTGACTGATGCAGTATGTGCTGCTTTGTGCATCAAGGATCAACCTGGTGACCTAGATTTTCAGTCTTCTAATGCTTCCTTGGGTGCTAAGACCTTCTCTGTCCCCTCCTTATTTAGAGAAATTCCTGCGGGAAAATTGGAAACTTGCTTTTCATTTATGGCCTTTGCCTGATCATGTGAAGAAGTCTTTTCTTTTATGTCTGTTATTGACTGTTTTTATGCCTTTTTGAGAATAAATTGATACTATTGAACTGATCCAGTTTCGAGTGCTGTGTGTGTTTTTTTATGGGCTCTTGGTTTTAAAGCTTAGATGGAAGTCTCATCTGGCACCGAGGTTCCATTAGTGACAGTGGATGTGTGGGAGTTGAGCTGACTCATTTTGTGTCTACATCTTTTAAGAGTGACTCTTGTTCTGATGAAGACCCTTGGGTTTACAGCTTGTAAAGCGATCACATGCTGCCCTACACTTCATCTAAATTTGCTTGCAATGTTGAAGATGTATAAAGAACAACTTTTCCTCTTGATGTATGAAGATGGGCATCTTTTTGGTCAATCTTTTCACGGTACAATGTCCAAGCTTACTGACTCTGGTTCTATGGGCTTACTCCGACGCAGAAGATCCTTTCGTGAGACGGAGCTCTATCTCTTTCTCATCCATTGATCCTATTCCTTGAAGACGTTGTCAGTCTGCCTCCCACTCTAGTTGCAGAAATCATCGCTTTCCAACTTTTTTGGTTTAGATATTTAGCACTTACACTTTGTTAGTGAGATTTTGCTTGTATATACTATATTTTTTTCTTGTCAGTTCTCTGTGGCTCCCATTCTTGAAATTGTATTTCAAGAATGGGAGCACCCTAATTAGTTGCCTTTTCTACTTAGTAGTGTTCTTCTGCTCCAGAGTTTCTAGTGGTTCGAATTCTCCAACTATTTGGGACCCTCTGTCGTTCTTCCTATAAATATCTAGTACTCTTGCTGAGACTAGCTTTCATATCTTTCTTTTATTTTATGAGAATCTTTGGTACAAGTATAAGTGCACTCCTGCAGCCCCCTTTTATTTATTTTGTTTTCTTCCTGGCCTCTTCTCCTGAAAAAAATTCTCAACCTATATGTCAAATGATGACCTTTTCCCGTGATTCCCTCTGAATATGGAACTGTGAATACAGAGTCCCACTACAGCTTTAATCCAATTACTGCAATGACACGTCGGTGTCTATTAAGATTTTTCTGTGGAAGCTCTTCTGTTACCATTTAGGTTAGCCAGCACTTTTTTTTTTTGTGAGCTTCCATCATAATGTTTTTTTTCCCCTTCTACAAATATACCAAAAACCCTTCCTGTTTACCCTTTTGGGGCTTATCTATTAGTTGAGATTTTCCTTTTAATATAATTTTACCAATGCAGTTGTTTTTCCAAAACTGTTCCTTCTATTACTCTGTCAATGGACTTAACTTTTCAATTGTACCAGAATTTTAGCAGCTTGCCAGACCTTTAATGTAATCCTATAGCAGGTGCTTCTAAGCTGTTAACAGAAGCAAACCGAACTTTAGAGTTTTTGTTGTGATTTTTGGGCATTGATTACTTCACATTACAAGTAGCTAAAGACATCAGGGATGGCTTTTGTTAAAACTTTTTTTTACTGCTGGTCATATATGGGTAAATGATGTCCGTATCTGGGCACGTTAGGCTTAAGGTTAGGTATAGGGTATCGTTACAAGTGGAAGGATAAATTATATCAATAGGTGAAACTTGAAAAGTTCCATGCCTTAATGCACTGCATTGGGCTGTTGGTCCTTTTAAAAAGCACCTACATGACTTAAAGCAAGAAAGCTGATTTAATTACGGTCATGTCTCACAATGTTTTGTTTGTCAGAAACAGAGCTATTGTTTCAGAGGTATTTTTAATGCTGTCATGGTACTTTTCTTAAGTGTGCTTTTGCTATTACAGATTTACCACAGCCAATAACATTGACCGTTTTTCCTTTCATATCCCATTTCCGTGTTCAACTTTGAGTGCATCTTTGTTAAAATATGCATGTTTCCAGATTTTATGATCTACTCTTTGGCTCAGTAGTTATATACATAAAATCCATTGATATAAACACTATTTTAATGCATCCTTTTGGAGAGATAACTCATTATATAATTTTAAAAAATAAAAGCATTTTGTCTTTTATGGTTTGGAGCATTTCATAATTTCTGGAACAGGTAAAAAATATGTCTTCATAAATTTTATAGCAGTTTTGTAATGTTACTGTGTTCTTTTGAGGAACTATTTTGTTTTGTGTTTATGCAGTTTTTACTCAAAATAAAGTTTTCGAGACCTTGTTTAATTTACATTGTATCTTCTTTCTTTTCAGTCGAATTTGCAGGATGACGTCTTTGATAGCGGAGTAGAATCTATTGAAAAGAGGGCACTCTCTTTAAGTTTTGACGACCTGCCTAACGGTGATAGTACTCCAGCTCGATCTACTCCCTCTTCCTCTTTGGGTTACTCAAATCCAGAAATTACGGTAACCCCACCAGAACATAACCTCCGTGAGCCATCAATGGCACCTGTGAAAGACAATTTGAGTGCCAGGTCTTCTGCTGACTTGTGTAGTCAATCTCAAGACTCTCAGTCAAATACAGACAATGTAACTAACAGTGAAGGAGATGATTTAGATGTCTCCGCTTGCCAAAGACAACCTACCCAAATAGACAATAGCATATTTATTGATTCAAATGTCTCGGTGTCAATTTTGCAAGATTCTGAAGAGTCTTCTGAGCTTAAGCCTGTGGAGTTGGACAATTCTGAAGGGAATATTACCAAACAGCTGGTAAAAAGGCTTACATCAACTGATATACCTGCCGTCCCAGAGAGAATCCAGGCTGAATGCTCCACGTGTTGTGAATCTGAAGCCAATAGATCCTTTTTGGATGGAAGCTTGGAGGAATCTTTGCAGGGACTGCTCCTTACTCTCGAACCTTGTAAGGACCAGTGTGACGAGTACCAAGAGTTGTACCAGGAAATTACACACCTAGAGGATGTTCTAAAAGTAAGTGAATGCAACGCATCACTCTGTCTTTAATTTTTCTGTGAATGTAAATACATATGTAAGCATGAGGGTGGAAGTTGTGTGAAAGTATTGCCAGTGCAAATTGTAGTGACTGCAACCAAACTCTGTTATATACAAAGCCAAAGAGATTATTTTTGCTGTGGACGTTGTTAGTGCCTTTGGTGATTTTGCTCTAGTGTCTGCTGGTTTTGCAGAATTTTGTGTGTGTGTGTGTGTGTTATATATATATATATATATATAGT